CTTTGGAACGGTCGTTTTTGCGCATTTTATACACTTTCTGAACATATGACAACAGCTTCCGCCCCATCTCGTCAGTAACTGACGTGAGGGGGGTACCCCGCGCATCAAAATCGGACGTAGAGGGAACCTTGCAAAACGTCAATATGTGACGAGTTGGGAGTGAGAATGGGTTGGGTTGTGAACATGCATATAAACACAAGATTTCTCCAGTGAAATGTTAAATAGTGACTGTGGAGGACCACAGACCCGACCCCCAAAACTCAAGGCAAGCATAAGGGGGAACAGAGCCACAGACCCCGAGAGAGACCCCAAGCACCGAGCCCCCAAGACCACCTGCGCAGYGAGAACCACCCACCCACCCCCTGAGAGGAACACAGGAGAGAACCAGGAGAGCCCCACCAGCAACCACACGCAAAACTCCCAGGGCCAACAGCCATGACCACAGGCCCCGCCGGCCCCTGCCACACCAGAGCAGAACCAGGCATGGACACAGAGACCCAGATCCACAGGGCGCACCCCCAAACCAGACCAAGGCCCAACAGGGCCAGAGGACCCATGCCCCACCAGGCCAAGCCGGCACATGCCCAAGCACCCAGCCCCAGACATTGAGAGCCACCAGCGCACCGGTGGGCAAAGGCACACTCCACCAGAGGGCAGTGCGGCTGGGGGCAGAGCCCATCAGGTGAACCAGATGAGGGGGCAGCCCGAGTCCCAACCTGACAAATACGCAATCATACACAAACACAATCACACACAAACACAATCACACAGTCCCACCCTCATTCTCACACCCACTCATTCAAAGACAGACAAGAAGAACGCCACACCCCACTCATACTCCTGACACACTCTCTATACCCCCCAGGTCCAGGACACGTACCCACCCCCCACAGAGGGCAGGCCATATCCGAACCCAGGAGGCAAGCCCATTCATTCTGGGGTGTGGAAGAGCAGACAGCCAAGGCCCGGCCCGGGCTGCACCGGGCCAGCCGACCGGCCACCCCGCCACAGCAAAGCAACACCCTCGACCACCCCCCACACACTGCTAACAGCCAAGCGGACACCCCCAGCCGACCACCAGCCAGGCCCCGGCAGCCACCCCAACCAGCGGGCCAACCATGGCAACCTGGGGCCACAATCCGAGAGCCCGAACAACCCCGGGGAAGACAGTCCACCAGCCACCCTGCCGGCACCCACCCCAGGACCCCGAATCCATCCGCAGCCCAGGACCCCACCAGATGTAGAAGCAAAAATGAAAGTAACTCATCAAAAAACACCAAAGTTTGTCACTAATATGAAGAGCAGCTTCTGGTTTTACCATGTAATATTTTAAAAGTTCAAAACATTATCAAATACAGTTGGAGATACATCTATATTTTAATTTGTACTTTAAATAGATTTTTGTAGTTTATTTTTTAACATTTTGTCAAAAAGCTGTTGTTACGGTTATTGTTTGTCACTAATATGAAGAGCAGCTTCTGGTTCTACCATGCAAAACTTTTTAAAAAGGCTTTATTTTCCTTTGCACTTTATCAAAAAAAATTTATTTGGAATATTTACATTAAATATTTGTGAATGTATTTGTTTTATGATCACAATTTTATTTATTGAATTGTCTATTTTTGTTCTTGTTTATGTTAAATAT